AAAACTAAAAACTACGAAAAAGTACTTAGGCCTTCATTAAGTTCCACTTTCACGCGACGTTCAATGACAGGGTCCTATACAGGATTACATCTGAAAAATCCAAATCTGGCCAACACCCACCCTAAACCTAAACCTGTTCTAATCCACCTGAAATGATTAACGAATGGAAGACTTTGACTACCCAGCCATGCAATAGTCTTATTCCGTGCCTTATGGCAACTTGATGATTCTATTGCGCTCATCTTTTGGCACCACCCAGGGGAGACTTGGTCCTGTACCCAATGCTTAACTTATCTCCATTCCACTCAGCTACTCGCAATCTCTTGTGATATAGTGGGCGGAATATTATTATATGAGACAATTCTATGCAGACGTCTTTCCAAATTTGGCAGATCGACAGATAGTTGCTATTCAACAACTCGACAACGTCCCATCGTCAACGCCTGCTATGAGAATTTCCCATTGCAGACGCCAACGAAATGACGTCATCGAGCTATCGATCAACTACCCTGGTTATCGCCTGGTACCTTATAGCACGATGCTAGGAGGCGAACTGGAAGAATCGATGAGCTACCTCTCTACCCATCTAGACGGGACTTGCCGACGAAAAACTCCAGGCCGGGAATCTGTTTGGCGTCCGCTTTAACGTACGTCTCGTCGTCCATTACGATGCATTTCGGTTGCACCAACCACTCGCGGTACAGCCAACCGGTGGAAACTAACGATTTTAAATTGGCTCACTACTTGACTAGCCTATTGGTCCCAAGCAAACTATTAACGTACCCCATTCTAGTCGAAGTTCTAGTACTACACTATGTTTGTTTTGATTCGCTATGAAAATTTGACAGATAAAATGAGGAGTTCGTGGATTTTCCTATGATTGCATTGGGGTGCATCGATTAGCTTGGGACCGGAAAGAGTACCAGAGCTGAGCCAAAAAGTTGAGCACGTTTCTTCGGGACCTTCTAGTCTTAGAGTTACCTCTATTGTACAGCTTCCTGGCGCGGTATTTGGCCACCGTATTCTGTTTATCTGTTCGGTTAGGTGCCTTCCTTACCTTGAAGACATGAAGTCCGGCCCGCTTCATTGTCTGCTGGACGATCCAGACGGAAGAATTGACCTTCTTGGCCACGTCCCGAATGGGTTGTTTGGGTCTCCTTGAACGATTTTACCACACGTTACACGGTCAAATGATCGATTCCAAACTGTTTCGCGATCCACCTGTGGGACTGGCCTGGATTTTCTACATCCGCTCCCATAGTTTTTTGTCGAAGCACTTCTTGCTTGGAAGCCATCTCGATAACCACTTGACCAGATTGTGACGAGATTTTGCACATGTAAACATTACACTCTAAACAAATTTTACTTAAAATTTCATCAAGTTTCACCCATGGAATAAAAAGTTTTTCACAAAAGAAAGTGTTGATTTTTTTGTTTCGAGTACAATCTTTAGTAGGTGATCATAAATCTTTCCAGACCTGTTCTTTGGAAGGTTTTTCAAGACTTCAGGTTGATGAAGTTCATTCTGAAGACTTTAAACAGCTCAAAAATTAAAATGACGTCCTCACATATTCTTCTAAGACAGCAAGTTGATCAGGAAATATCCCAGCTGATTTCAATAAGGCGCTCTGAATATTTTAAAAGACATCAAAAATATGAAGATCTTTTCAAAAAACTTAATTGTGGTCCCTCAGACAATCTCTTTAAATTGTACGGTGATCATGAAGTATTCTAAAGATTTCCAGCTAATCGAAGGCTTCAGTATAAAGTCCTGAAGATATTCAGACCGATCAAGTATTATTCTGAAAAAAAACTGATTCTGATTTATCAACATTGTAACTGTTCGTTTTTCCCGGCAAGTTCAGTAGCAAGAGACCCCTCGAACTGGGTCTCAGGATCGGCTTACTACTTGGTAATCTCGAGGAACTTCGCGGACAAAATGTGCAGCGTACGGTCACCTGACTAGTAATACTGTGTAGTGTGAATTTATTGATTTAAAAATTAACTTTGACTGTGAGGGTTTTTATTTTAACAAATTGGTGTGATGGTGGGATTGGGTTTGATTTCTATTTTTCTAATTGTGGGTGTGGATAAAATTTGTGGGTGTGGATAAAATTAACTTTGTTCTTCGGTACGTACCACTGCTTATTTTGGCGTCCTGCGAGCGGTCGCTGCTGCTGCTGCTGCTGCTGCTGCTGCTGCTACTGCTGCTGATGACGAGCTGGCAAGCTGATTCCCAAAACAGTGGGTAATTACTGTTACCGCACGATGGTTTGGCGGGGTTTGTCGATGGTATGTGGCTGTGTAAGCCTTTCAGGTGTCCTCCCTCGTTGACGGAGATTGACACGGCCCAGGACGATACCAGAGTGACCGAGTTAAGAGGGGGAAGGCTCCTTTACGTTTAGGGGTTTCGCCCCCGAGCTTGAAAAGCCTCCTTACGGGCGGCTGACCCAGAGGTTGGATTGGTCCTTTGCGGTTAGACGTAGCAAACCGAGGTCTACTACGCCGAATCGTGTGCACCTGGTCGAGCTTCTCACCAGACAAAATGGCGACTTTCAGTCGAATTTACAGAATACAAAAAGGTCCTGAGAGGGTAATGGGAGGTATTAGAGAAGCCGTACTAATCTTCTAGTCATTAGTAGTGAACTAGATTTAGTTAGTTTTTAAGCGTAGGATAGGTCAGTAGCGTACCTGACGAATCCGCCGTCTTCTCCCTTTTTCGCTGGATATCACTCACTTAACAATGTGAAGGACACTTTGAAATATGGTTCTTGTGCACACGAACGCCTGTAACTTTCTGAGCAATGGCGCTCCTCCTTATTCTCATCAACCCCGTTGTAGCTTCTTTGTTGCTGTCTGTAAGGTTGGGGGGGGGGGTTTGTTATCACCACCTTTGTAAATTTTGACCCACTTCGCCTGCTGGTCTACTCTTCTATCATTTAGTTGTTGTACCCACTAGCTTGCATGCGATTCACCCCACTTATTTTGTACAAAATTCAAATTCTACTAACCTATAACATTTTTAATAGACACTAGGTACATTTTTACTAACATTTACTAGCCTATAACATTTTTAATAGACAATAGGTACATTTTTACTAACCGTTACTAGCCCTACTACTAACCCTAAATTTAATCCAACACCACTTAACTCTAGAGACGTGACTGTACACAAAATAAAAGCACAGATAAAAAAATACTAACAATTTGTAACAGTCGGTTACAACATGTTCAAGAAGGAGCCTTAAATATGAAGTCAGAATCCGTTTGATAAAGTTAGTGTTAAAGTGGAACTGAAAATGACATCAGAATGGTTGTGAGCTGGATCTGGCGAAGAAGTTACACACTTAGTTTTTTCTACCGACCTCGGCTGTGCAAATCTCGGCAAAATAAATTTCACTGAGATCTCAGCAAAAGTGACATTTGATTGCTGAATCTCGGATAATGCTTAGCTGAATCTCAGCAAACAAATGAAATGTTTGCTGAGATCTCAGTAAAAAATCTTTTGCAGAGATTTGCACAGCCGATCTCGGTAGAAAAATCTAAGTGTGTATGATTTCCGAATCAATTTAAACTGTTACAAACAAACCATTTGTGTGTGTTACTTCTAGAATAAAACGGTTGAGAAGTAAACTCAAATGTTTACTTCTCACCTACCGAACGGCATTCGCTAACTGAAATTTGAATTTCAAGTGTCAAACCCAGCTCACGAATTATAGGCTGTAGTGTGAAAGCACCGAAATTCTTGACATGTGCGTGTATTTCGTCTACAATATGCAGACTTCTTCAGTGCTTTGTATTAATAATCGACTAGTACAAGACACTGACGAAGTCTGCACATTTTTGACGATATACGCGAATCTGTCAAATAAGGTAGTGGAATTAAATGGAAATTACTAATCCTTCTCTCTTTCTTTATTCACCCACATTCATCAGGACTGAAATTCTGCTAACTGAAACCAATTCTCAGTCAAAGGACATTTATCTGACAAAATTTCAAAATGTCATGTTCTTCTTCTTCTTCATTCCTTTATTTTATGTCGGTCTCTGTTCCGCAATCTAGTGCCAATCACCGATGGACATCGAATGCCATCCATTGACGACAATAGAATGTGCAGGAAAGCAGCTTCCACACCTGCGCAGGATATCGCACCCATTCAACACACATGGGCCGGGATCAACGGCTTTAATTTTCCTCCGAAGGAAGACGTGACCAGAGATTTTTATGCCTCAGAAAAATCCCACCGACCTCGGCTGCGATTGAACCCAGACCCATTGGGGTGTGAGAAGGCAGTCACGCTTACCACTACACCACCGGCGCCGGCAAAATGTCATGTTGAACCGGATGAACACTGATGCATTTTTAATGCATTTCCGGAGTGATTTGAGATTTTGGCGTAATTGCATTTGTAAACAAACACGTCAATCACCGATTTCTCGCGAATAAAAGCTCTATCTTGAAAACTAATAACGCTATGAGGTAGAGGAATGATTCTTCCATCATTTGATATAGTTTGTTTATGAGATTGAGCTTTAATTCAAGAGAAATCGGTAATTGACGTCTTTGTTTACAAAAGCAATTACGCCCAAATCTCAAATCACTCCGGATTTGGTAACTGGTTTGACACTTGAAAAGCATGCATTCATTAAGGAGTGATGAACATAGTATGTCACGCTCTAAAGGGGGAGGGGAGTTAATGATTTTGTGACAAGCAATGCATTAGGTATAGGAAAAACGTCACGAAAGGACTATAGCTAACCAATTCCCGTCGAATAATGAATTCTCAAACCACGATACTACGCATTTGCTATGAATCAGGAAAACCCTCGTTAAAAAGCTCTCACACACACACACACAAAGCCATTCACTAGGCGGAAAACTTGTGATACCCCCACCCCATCCAATTCCAGTTTCCCACAGGTCTATCATTTTTCCCGCACAGCAAAACAATTGCGTTCATTCTATCGATTTTTCCTACAGCTGTCAGTTGACACACTAAAGATAGTAGCCATTTCGGATTGTCGGTCGTGCTTTCGTACTGTTCAGTAGTTCGGTAGATAAAATTGCGAATCGAATCCACATCTAAAGCGCCATTTGTGGGAAAATCGATTCCAATTGGGTTTCCATTCCTTCGGGTAATCTATTGGCATGAGTTTTGTCGGTGTGAAAAGGAAAACTATAACGAGAGGATATAAGATAACTTTACATTGAGAAGCAGCTGCTCGAACAGGTCGTTAAAAAAATCCATAAGAAATGTATCAAACTACTTTCTGCCAGTAACATGTAGTGTTGTGCATCTCACTCATAACTATTGTATAATGAGACATCCAAACTAAACATTGCTTGTAAAACCGAAAATCTGCCAATAGATGGCCTCAAAGTAGGACGAAACCCAACTGACAACAATAAGTAGTTAACAAATCGATATTGATCGCAATCAATAAGTTCATTAAGTGTGAATCGAGAAAAGGAGCAAACACAATCATGAGTGGCTTCTTTCGCCCAGCGATGATTGAAATAATCTGCCTAATTGCCTTGGTAGCGGTGCTCGCTTTGAACGAGGTCACGGCTCGTCGGTTGTCGGAAGAACTTTCCGCACCGCAGCACTCGATCGTCAAGCGAATGGATCTGGAAACGTGTCTAGGTCGGTACCTTAATGCCCAATTGTACGCCCAACACATCTTCATTATTTTCGAGGCGATGACAACACCCGTGACTGACGTGACTGTTTGACGATGACGGTTCTTTTTTGATTCGGTTTTGCAGTGCGCTTCGATGTCCACGTGAACACGATCATCCGCACCGAGGAGTCACGCTCGATGGGGGCCAATTTTCTGGACGACGCCGATGTTAGCTCGCGTGAGCAGTGCCTGCGGTTGTGCTGCGAAACGGAAAAGTGCGATGTGTTTGTCTTCGAGGAGAAGGTATGTTGCAAATATAACAACAAATTATTGTATTCTTTATACGAGGCAATGAAATTGACGTTCGAACAACCGACGCTAGAGGATCAAGAAGCTACATGATATTTTATATTTGATGCATTTATCAAACATTATTTAAAGCTTTGAAACGATATTACGAGAGAAGCGGACTGGCAGGTTTTGAGCCAAATGAACTGTCAAAGCCCGAGCCAATCAACCAGCAGATCCAAATAATCTGATGCGACTTTCTTCGAATTGCATCAAACTTTGCATAATTGTTTGTTATGGTCAATAATTCACATTTCAGGGGAAACATGTCAGAAGGGTCTAACTTGAACGTAAACAATGGCTTGGAACGTCGATTTTTCACGAATGACCACACACTCACGAAATCTGACTACACCACCTCATAGAACAAACATTGCTCTGTCAGATGATTTAGTTAGTTTGAGTGGGTGTGTGTCATTCCTAAGAAACCGAGGATCCAAGTCATTGTTTACGTTTCGAGCTAGACCCTTCTGACATGTTTCCCCTGATTTGAGCTTTTAATTTTGTTGAACCTCTTAACGCATCCCGTTATGAAGAGCTTTTTGAGTTATTGATTTATCTCCTTTAAATTCCGTTATAATTTTATTTTTGTTTTCCGTTTTTATTGCCTATCTTTAGACCGATACTCATGATTGCAGACTTCATCAGTGACAAGTACTCAACACTACTTGGCACTTGGCACTGATGAAGTCTGCAAGTAGTAGACGAAATACGCGTATCTGTCAAAAGGTAAACAATTATAAAGGAATTAAAAGGAAATAAATCACACTTAAAAGCTCTTCACATTTGAGCTAAAATTCAGAGATTTTGAATCTCTCAAAAAAAACTTAAAAATTGAGTATTCGATATGTTTTAGCAAAGAACGTAAATGTCACTTCCAAAAATATACACGGTAAAAAATTTAAAATAATTATTGTTTCAAACTTATATATCATAAAATTACCCTCTTCAACATTTTTTAATTTCTTTTTGAAGTTTATTGCGGGACACAAAATGGCCGAATGTCAACTCAAATGTGAATGCTTGACCATATAAAACAATTCCGGAGTGATTTGAGATTTGGGCGTAATTGCTTTTGTAAACAAACACGTCAATTACTGATTTATCTTTAATAAAAGCTCAATCTCACAAACAAACTATACCAAATGATAGAGGAATCATTGCTCTACCTCATAGTGTTATTACTTTTCAAGATTGAGCTTTTATTCGCGAGAAATCGGTGATGGACGTGTTTGCTTACAAATGCAATTACGCCCAAATCTCGAATCACTCCGGAATTATGCAAAGTTTCATGCAAATCGGAGAAGGTCGAGTATGAAATTAATTTATTTATGTTTACTATTTGACCTGAAAATACTCTATATATTGGTTACATTGGCAGTCCCAACAAACAATTTGTGCTGATTAAACTAAGCAATTTTTTAGCTGAAGAAGCATATTTTTGCATTAATAAGCTCTTATTCTGCTTCCAATGTTTGTTGGGAGTGTTGCTAGAAATTGCCCAGGCATACAGTACCGGACTTATTAAAACCTTTACTTATGCTGACTGTCTTCTTGATTCGATAGCTGATGTTTCCGGAGTGATTTGAGATTTGGGCGTAATAGCTTTTGTAAACAAACACGTCAATTACTGATTTCTCTTGAATAAGAGCTCAATCTCACAAACAAACTATACCAAATGATAGAGGAATTATTCCTCTACCTCATAGTGTTAATACTTTTCGAGATTGAGCTTATATTCGCGAGAAATCGGTGATTGACGTGTTTGTTTACAAATGCAATTACGCCCAAATCTCAAATCACTCCGGGTTTGATCTAATAATAAACTGAATAAGTACAATTTGCACAAGAGACGCTTTAGTTCGACTGTTTGCAGTTGCTTCAACAACATGGTTATTACATGTCTATTCAATGTTTTCTAGCCCCATTATGCTAAACAATATTGTTGAATAAAGTCAGCTTATAAGCGGCCATCCATATATTACGTCACACATTTGGAGTTCGAAGAAACGTGACAATTAGTGATATATGGGGGAGAGGGACTAAGCTCAAACGTTACATCACATCCTCCCGGCTTTGGCTTGTCAACAATGGCCTGATTTTGACTTTAAGCCGTTTTAAAATTAGCTTCTTTCGAATCTTCATGTCTTCACCATCCTTTCCTCTTATCTGCCATTTTTCAATGTCAAAACGGTATGACACATGGAGAAAGTATTCGACAAGAAATTCACCGAATCCAGGCATGCAATGAGAAAGTCCAAACTGAAAAGTTTCACAGTTCTCCTCGCGTTGCTTCACAGAATCAAGATCATTTATTTGCTTCGGTGTTGCCTTGCAAATGTAGCAGGTCTGTTATGATTTATTACCCGAGACAGAATTGAAAACTTTTCCATCTACCATCGTCAAAACCTGCGTGGGAGACCCAGACTCGAAACATATAAACGTCAAAAGGAGCCAGATACAAGCTGTCAGGAACTGTCATTGGGAGCCAAGCAGTTTGGCGGTATTGAAATCTTGGAAAAATAATTTCTGACAAACTGTCGTGTCTAGCTGTCTTATTCAATTGGACACCGTTTTTTAGATTCATTCATTGAATGTGCCATATGTATACTTAAATCCATATTGAAAGATACCAATAACCAAGGTTTTTGTCAAAATCTTTTTCAAAACATAAAAGTAGATTTTCTCACTGCACCCTGAACAACGTCAAACAAGCACTACACGCTCAAAGTGAAACAGGCAATATTGCTACGCCTATTTTGATTTGATTTCAATAGCTCAAATTTTCATGTGTTTCCCTGCCAGGTCAAAACCATCTTATGGCAAACAATATTGGTTCTGTCATCTACCGTGAGAGTAGGAAACTGGGGAGTTTTTCTGAGGATTTTCTGGAGTAGTAGATATGACAATTTATCATTTTTGTCTCGCTTCGATGGAACTTGCAATACAGCTTCGTAAAGTATTTGCAAATCGAAAGCAGAATCCTCTCAACATCACATCCATTCAAACAAGACTCGCCAATGTTATACGCCACATACACTTCCTGACTCATCTTCTTAACATTGACTGGGTTTCCTTCAATATTTGAAACAACTTACGAAGTGCCTCACGATGTCCAACTTCTTCGCTCCGGGGTGGAGCTGGCAGTACAAACAAACAATCAAGCGTAGTTGGCTTTTTCCGCCATGGCTGCTGCAAATCAACTGATAACGCTGTAATTTTTTGACGTGGACTATGTCTTACGGGAAGGTACTGGGGGTAAATCGAAAATCTAAAATTGCTACCGTCACGAAAAGGTGTAAGGTTTTGAACGCTTATAACTTTGTCATTTATTGATGAAATTAAAATCCAAACACTCCAATCGATAGGAAATAACTCTACACTGCTAAACTGAATGCTTTTCCTATTTTCTCAAAAACAAATCGTTGAAAATGTACAAATAATAAGTGATAATTTTATCACTGTTTCAATAAAATAAACGTTCTCCCCAAACCAAGTCGTCATAATCGAGTACCGTTTGGTTGCGCATGGCGCTGTTTTTAGTTCGGTCCAACAAAAATTGTCGTTGACGAGAGCTCTGTAACTCTTTACTCCTATGGAGAAATCTCATATGTAACTGTCAGTCTACGTGTGAGACATGGCGGACTTTTTCTTATTCTCTCACTCCAACGGAAAACCCCATAAGGAACTGTCAAAATGTGTGTGAAGAAGCGGGGAGTGGTTTCAAGGCGAATTAAACCTCTGAAAATGGGTTGGAGCGTGCTTTGTGTAAATGCAAGAATGGCAATTACAAAGATATATAATCATATAATTATGAATACTTGAAGTTCTAGTTCCTCATTATGTGCTTAAGAGGCGGATAAATTCGAACGTTATCCAATGAACATTTAGAATTATGATCCTGCTTGGATGGATGAATTTTCGATTGCTTGAAGTGGCAAGTTATGATTAAATATTGAACTATTATTATTATTTAACTTTATTAAGGAGGCTTTCAGCCTTGGGCTTAAATATTGAACTAAGGGTCACATGGACCAAATTTTCTAATTTTGTGAAAGCACAACTCTGAATATCAAATTTTCGATTATGCTGATGAAAAGAAAGTGAGGAGGCAATCCTAAGTAACCAACAAGCCTGTTTAGTAACAATACGACTAATAATGCGCCAAAGCTCTGTATTAGTCGTATGTTCGTTTTATATAATAAAATCAATCCAAATTGGCGGGCTTATTAGTTACTTCCCAAGTAACAATTTGGTTTTTATGAGGGTACTGTAGAGCATGATTTAGACTTGTAGAGTGCTTTAAAACCTCAATAAAACATGCAATGTTACTTGGGCTGGGATGTGCAATAAGTGCTTGTGAACGATTTCCCACCGGAGGTATCCCACTGCGATCAAGCGTTTTGTTAAAGTGTTATCCATAACAAATGTTCAACGGAGATGGGATGGGCATTAAAGTGCGCACGGGGAATATATTTTATTACGGAGGATTAAACACAAGCGTTTCGTATGCGGAAATATCCCTAACGGAAAGTCCAGAAACAGCCAGAAAAAAAAACTATGGGTGAGGAAATTGACATGTCAAGTATAGGAAATTGAGTAAATTGAGGAAATAAGTTACTTCTACTGTATTTTTAATCAATATCAAGAAAAATGCACGAGAAGTTCACTAAACATCTCAACGTAGTCTACGTCAACCATGCGGTCGTGTCTTGTACACAACCCCACCAATTTTTCTGTACACAACAGGGTTGCTATGATTTGCGATGCATAGGTGGATTCACGAAAATTCCCCTACCTTGAATTTTTTTTCAGAACTCTTTACAAGATTGTATTGAAATATTCTTAAGAATTTCTTTTAGAATCATTGCTCTTCACAGTGTGCTGTTCAGAATTCCTTTAAAATTAATTTAAGATTCTCGCTCGGTCTTACTAAATATCTATACAACAGCCCGGAAATCTCTGCAGAAAACTTAAATGAATCATAAATTTCGTCCTTATGATTGTTCCAAGAGTTTAACGAAGCATAATTCAATAATTCTAATAATCATTAGCTTAAACTATTATAAAAATTCTCATTTAGTTCACCTCAGAATGGAATTGAAATGTTTCTCAGAACTATCTTGAAGTTCGTCTCCTTATTATTCGGAAACTTCACTTGAAACTCTTCTTAGAATAGTCGAGAAATAATTCTCGAGATGCCCTTGGAAGGGATCACATCATTCTAGCAGTATGAAATGACGCATCTTACCACTCGAACTTTCAACATTATTTTGAGATTATGTCTTCCAGAACCTCCAGAAAATAGGGTTTTATTTGTGCTCTCCCTAAAATATCAGCAATGAGTTGCCTAGCTTTATTATAATCTATGGTACACAATTGCTTAATTGATCAACGCCACTGTAACGTGCCAGTGCTGTGTTACTTTCAGCACTGATGAGGCTCCCGTCTTCAATCCTCAGGGTCGGCACACGCACGTAACAATTCCGCGAACCAAGAAATCACTACGGATAAAACTCCCACTTTATTCGCTTTTATTCGTATTGCTTCCTTCCCACTTCACGGACGGTCTCGAACCTAACGTCTCCCACTTCCTTACTGTTCTACTCCTACCTTGCGCTAGTACTGTTTACTTCGTTATCTTCGGGGCCCCTTCACCTCCCACTGCCTTCGCAGACGCTTCGCTGACGCTTCACTTCTTTCGCTGGTCCTGCTGCCAGAGCTGGTAAATATCACGGCCGTCATGTGAGAATGAGAAAACAGGTCCTCTCACTATCAAGAGACGAAACGACCTATCCTTAGCTTTCTTGTCATTTTCCAATGATCAAGCACTCATGAGAATAATTCTTATGCGGGTTTAACATCAAAATTTCTAACTTATTTAGATGAATTTAAGCAAGCAACGGTATGTAATCGGTAGAGTGATTATATTATTAAGATTCCATCGGTACAAGTAACTTTAATAGCAATAAATGAGCTAGTAATTACGATGATCACAACACTGTCACGTTCTGTCATGACAAAAAATTCGATGAGATTTTGAAGAAAATCTCTATCATCGTTTTCTCATCCAATGATAGTAACAGAAGTATTTCTCCCTTTTTATGGCACAGATCTGTTGGTCCATATTAAGAAGTATTTCTGTAAATATCGCGTGAGATCTTTCATTGAAAATGACATTTACCAGCCCTGCCTGCTGCTCCTCGTTGGCCAGGGGTGGCCGTTCTCCTTTGCTTCCTTCTTCTCGCTTCGCTTGTTTCGGCTGCAGTCTTCAGTGGACCCTTACACCTGTCCCGTGCGCCCCTCGAGTATGGTGCCGAACTTGATGTTTCAACAGTACCGTGGAACAGTTGGCCTGCCTGGTTTCGTGGTTAACACGGTGAACTCGGGGAACAGGTTTACGATCGTCCATTTAACACTACCGGCGTTTGGCGTGGTTGATATACGTACGATGAACGGCCTACCGTAAACTTTACGGTGAAACCGCGAGGTCCTGTAGGCGCGATGGAGTATTCGAAATGGCGGTTAGTTAGGCATACGAACGGTTCTCAATAGGCGACGGTCGGGTCTGGTTCGGGGTTTTTTGGTGACGGTATTTACCTGGATGTAACAGTACGGCAACTTCCTTTACTCTGTTTAACTCCACTCCGAAGATTACTCTCACTTGACTCTGTTTATACTCTACTTCCACTTGATTATTAGGGGAAATGCAGGTAATGTCGGCCGAAGTGTCCCTAATTTGGGCCCATACATAAATTTAGCAATCGACTAAATTTTTAATAGCAACCAAAAATATCCATTAGTAACGACCCAATAACGCTTTCATATAGATAAAATTGATAAATAGCAGATTTTTAGCGATGGGCCCAATCTTAGATCCATGGGCCAACATTAGAGACATTTCCACTATGTATAGTTTTTTTGTGACTATCGTCTGCAAAGATCACCAGAGGGCCACACCGTCATACGTGCCACAAATTATCCACGCAATGGCCTCTATTACGCCACCCCTATGGTCGTCCTTTCATGACTGCATACAGCGTCCTCTGGCGGTGGCGAGTGGCATTGTCCTACATTTGATATGGAAGTGTCTCCTACTGGCTGCGTTCGTGGGCATTCTGGGACGTTGTACCTTTTACAAACATGTAAATTTTTTCTTGGATTCATAAAAACAAAATATTCGAAAACTACACGCGATTAATCTCACCAATCTTGGACGCCTCACACTTGTTTCACCACCAAAACACTACATCAACCGAACAACCAAATATACCAAACCACCAAATATACCAAAACCACTACTAATAACGTTTTTCAATACCGAAAAATCACATACGCGAAAAAAAACCCTGAAAAATCCGCGGGCAGAGCCTACTATTTTTTATATTTGATAAAAAAATTTACTTGGTTCGGAAAGTCACAACTTATTTTAAATCTTAGATCTTAAAAAAAATGCAATGTTCTACACGCTTAGTTTATTTCTACCGAGCTCAGCTGGGCAAATCTCGGCAAAAAAAGTTTTACTGAGATCTCAGCAAACATTTCATTTGTTAGCTGTGTTTCAACTAAGCATTATCCGAGACTCAGCAATCAAACGTCACTTTTGCTGAGATCTCAGTGAAACTTAATTTTGCCGAGATTTACACAGCCGAGCTCGGTTGAAAAAAAAACTAAGTGTGTAGAGTATCAAGTTATTGTTTGAATCCAATATAATGAAAAAGAAATTAAGTGCAACAATCATAAAATTTGTCGATGTCTTAGAAATTTGATTTATATTGTTTAGTCGTTCGACATTTTGAATATTTATTATAGTTTTGAATCTAGAAACATCTCATATATCAGAATCTTGTATTTCAAGGATTAGAAGAAGTTAAGTGTGTAATTTGAAGAATAATCAGAAGACTCATAAATTCCATACAACCATGAATTTCCTCTATTACGTCTATCTGGAGACTCGCTCTGGTATTCCCTTCATTTTACCACAATATTGTAAGAATTGTCTACAGGAAACTATTGAAATTCACTAATCAATGTTGTAATTATCTCCGGAATTCTCATAAGTCTCGTTTAAGTTACCTTGACATTCTGATATGAATTGCATAGGAACACTCCACGCAATTTGTTTAGTAACTCTCCTATGAATTCTTCCAGAATTACTACCATCGAATACTCCTCAAAATTTCCGCAGAATGTTACTCAGAACTATCTTGAAATTCACATTATACTTCACTGAAGTTCTCCTTTCAATTTCTTTAGAATTTTAGGGACAAGAATTATAAATCCCATATTTTTTTGAGATTTCTTCTCCTTAAAATTTACCTGGAATCCCTGGAAAGTATTATATTTAAATTCACATGGAATCATGCTTCAAACTCTCATTAAATTTCTTCTCAAAATTTCTTAGGGATGGCCCCAGTATTCATTTGAAATTCCTCTGTGTACAGAAAGTCACCAAGGCTGCAAGAGCGCAGATAAAAGTCCCTCAAAAAACACTATTTGCCTCAAATCCGGTTGTTACAAAACAAAGATGAGCACATCAAGCTGGGTGATCGCAAATAATACTTTGAATTATTGTCGGAATATTCTTAGATTTCTTATTATGATGCTATTAGAATTAGAAGCACCTTGAATAATTCCTTAGAATTCATTTTATTAGATTCAATCCCAATTTGTACAGGATTTTCAATTAAACTAACTTGTAAATCATTCCAGAACTTCCTTGGCATTATTTTTTAGCTTTACCAGAAATTACGTGGTCCTCACAATTACCTTAGGCTACACACTTAAATTATTTTGCCGAGATTACAACAGTCCTGAGATTCAGTAAAACAATTGCTGAGACTCAGCTAACGAATTAGATTTTTGCTGAGGTCTCCGCTAACAAACAGATATTTTGCAGATATATCAGTAAAAGTAAATTCCGAGGTAACCGATTGTTGGAGATTTTACGGAACTAGATTGAGTGTGTAGATTTCGCTAGAAGTTCTCTTTACAGTCACGTTTGAATTCCTCAGAACAAATATGGAATGAGTTGGTTGGAAATGCTATCTAACATGGAGCTTTAGTGTGATACATTATTAGCTAGAGAATGGTCTTAGAAGAGGGTAGGTAGATAGTTCCGTTAGAGTACGGCAGTATGAAAATTTACACGTGTCTTCCTTTCCATCCGCTGGAGCCACCAGTGATTATGGGACTGATATGCGATTATGGGTAGCTATTTCTATCACCAAACCGCACCAATACCGTATAATCATTATTGTATGTTTATTCACTATCACCAAACCACAGCAAAATATGCTATCCGTTGATCCCATTGTTCTTCCAAATTCAACCTGTTGGTTCACAATAGCACTAAACTTTCTTTATTTCCCACGCTCAACATTCCAGAACCAGGGCACCTGTTTCCTCTTCCAGTGTGGCCCTCCGAACGATTTCCACTGCAAATTTACCCACCATTCTAACTATACGAGCGCCGTGCTGAAAATTCCATCGGTGGAGCAGCAGCCCCCGCCACTCGTTTCGCAGATCCACTCACTCGCCCAACCACCGCAAATGGCCATGCTACCCAAGCTCTCGCAGCATGAGCTGGAGCTGGTTAATCTCAAGGCACCGAAGACACCCTCAAGAAGGTCAGTTGTAAATTGAATAGCCTACTGTGAGCGTAAATAGCTCACGTACATTTCAATCTTTCATTGCAGTGAGCAGCCAACGACTACTTCGTTGCCACCTCTCGGCGTTCAGCTCGGCCAACTTCCGACAGCTACGATCCCTAAGCCTACTACGCCCACTCGGTGCGGTCACTATGAATTTCCTTGCCACTCCGGAGAATGCATTGCTATCTACAACGCTTGCGATGGAATTCCACAGTGCGCTGACGCAAGCGATGAAGGACCAGAATGCCCAAGACCTCCTCCGGTTAAACCGTTTCAACCGTCTCCAATCCAACAACAGCAGCAGCAAATGCTAGAACCACAATCGATATCCGCTGGACAGGTAAATGAAATGCCTCAAGCGAAGCCCATAATAGCACAAGTTTTCCAGCCGGACCTTCCACAGCAACAGCTGAGAGGATTGCAGGAACAGCAAAAATTGAACCGTCAAATTCCTCACAATCGGGAGGATCCAATGACGGCACCGAGAGCTTGGCCAAGACCTATCTCTGATCCCCAGGCTGTTTATATGGGTACATTGGGTGAATTTGTCTTCAATTCCACGAAATAATATAACCATTTCACATGATTACAGACACCCCTGATAGTCACATCTTCAACCACAAGGGTGGCCTACAGCTATCGTCCAACAACATGGCTCCCCCGCAGTACCAGGGATCCTTTCCCGAAACCAACTACATCCCCAACATTCCACGAAACAACCCCTACATGCCGTTGTCCGATGGCTATGCACCCCAGTGGACCGATCCTCGCATGTCTCCACCCCAGCGCCCAATATGGCCACAATCACAACTCCCCCAGGAGCAGTACGTTCAACCACCCCCTCAGCATCAATCCGATATGAACCCACCCCCGATCCAACCGGTTCCCTCAAATCCTCAACCCTCACCGCCTCAATCTCCTCCACCTCAACCCCAACCGGCAGCCACTGCAATCGCAACCGATGCGCAACCGAAGCTCCCCGTGGTCGATGACGAAAGCTCGAAGAAGCCTGACAACCACAAGGCCGGAAAATCATCCGAAGAATACGAGTCCTACGACGAGCAGTATCAGGAAAAATCATCCAAAGAAGAACAAGAAGAGGAAAAACCTCAACCTCCGCAGAAGAAGAAACCACGGAAGCACCACAAGCAACATCAGCACGACGAAGAACACAAGAAAAAGAAATCGAAAACGGCCAAGAAGGACAAGGCTGTCCACGAAGGAGAGCACATACCGCCGCCGGTGCACTTGAAGATGCTGCGAAGCGATATGGAAATTGAGTTCGTCGATCACGACGGCCAAGCGGAACGACCGGGAGGAGCAGTGCTCTCGTTGACCTTGGGTAAGACTTTCTTTCCGTTAGTATTTCAAGGTTAGGTACTGATTTATACTTCTTATTTGTTTTCCTCTGATTAGGAGCAATACTGACCGCCGCTCTGGCAATTCTGATCGGATGCAGGATGAAGGTGGCCCGAAGGAGAGTCAGGCGACAGGGAAAGGGAGGATACGCGCATGATGCCGATTTCCTGGTGAATGGAATGTATCTTTAGGGCGCGTCGATATCTTGAGTTTAGGTTTAGGGAGGAAGGTTAGTATCATAAGCATCTTTTTTCGAATTGATTTACCATCGAAGTCATTAGGCAATAAGCTTGTTTTAAACTATTGATAAGTTTTATTTTATGATAAAAACAGAAGAAATTATTGGAAATATGTGTTGCATAAGTTTCACTGAGAAAAGAAGGAGTGTTTATGCTTTAGTTGAACCAGCTTCGATTAGAACAATATTTCTGTTATTAAACTAGTATTTAAAACCCACCTACATTTGGTTTGATTCGTTTTGCATGTAAACTGTCACGAAATGTGCAAAACCTAATTTAACAATCCGAAATTTATTCAAAGTCCGAAACTTCGAATTTGTTTGGAACGATTACTACGCATTTTGGTATTTGGTATAAGAAGGGTAATGCAGCTAAGCAACACAAATTCCAACCTTAATTTGCTTTTTGTTGCGATAAATGCTCTCAATTTACAATTCCTTCCCTACCTTCAAAATTACCATTATCTATCTACAGCTTCATTTTCCACAAACTGGGAGAAATTTTCAACAACAACTACACCCTCTCGAACTCGAAAGGAATGACACAAAAATGTATTCAATCCAGTCAAATAAAAACATTCTCACGGATCAATTTTAATCACTGAATCCACCATTGTTGTTCGTTCTGCTGGGACTGGGGTCAGTCAGTAGTGCACGCGACGAGAGATGAACACGTGTAAATCTTCCGTACCGTTTCCATAGATCAAGGGAAATACGAATGCCCTGGAAGGTGTTATTAACTGTCACACAATGGAGAAATGCTTTAAAACTAAATGATCCATTAATCTGGTTTGCTTGCAGAGATAGAGTAATTAAGATAAGCTTTTGATGTGATGATTTCCGCATTGTTCGTCAGATGATCTGATTCATCAAAACCATTGGATGTTATACTTGGTGATTTTCCGGAACTCTTCTTTCTCCTCTTCTCACGCTAGCACCGCTATAGTGCGATTCCCAAATTGAGATCTTTTTTTCTTTTTGGCTTTATTATCATCAAGCGGTCTGAGACCTTTCCAAAGACGCGCCCTTTCATCAATAAAAATAGGTCTTACATGAATCCTCATTAAATTCTAGATACACATTTCAAAGGATCCTATCTGTATTGATCGATTCTCTTAATCGGTTTTCTCTTCTCTCTTTGAAATGTCCATCGAAAATTGTGATGTTCTGTGCCATTTGAAAAATTCGGGGATCTCTCCAAATACGCGCCTTCCAGCATACAAAATAGGCCTTCTTTGCGATAAAAACAAGCGATGATACTGATACCATGCTGCAGAACGCTGGCCCGAACCTTTTCTTGTTTCCAATCTCCAAACCGAGGCTCATAACCGTCAACAAGAAGAGCTTAGAGCCAGAGTTCAATGCTGGAGATGTACCAGCGGATAAGGATAGTTTCAAAATAATTCTGGGTAAAATTCCACAGAAATTCTGAGGATAGTTCTTAGTGTTTTCTTAATGGTTATTGCCAATGTAATTCCGAATTTTAAGAAAATTTCGAGAAACATTTTGAGGAGAATTCCAAGTGATTTTTAAAATTATTCGTAGCAGAGCTCCTAGATATATTAGAGCAGAATTTTAATATTTTTCAGGCGTGAATTACACTGTAAAATTCGAAAGAATGTTCATCTGAATTTTAATTAGAATTATGGACGAAAACATAGGAACAGTTAATTCTTAGGAAAATCATAAAAAATTAAAATAATCTTAGGGTAAATTAAAAAAAAAAAACAAAAAAGCAGTGCGGTGCGATCTGAAGATTTTCAAGACTGGTGAATGATTATTAATTATTCCAATGATTATTATTTATGTATAATTATTATTCCGTCGACACCCGTCAATCTGAACGACACTTCGTGCATATTAAATGGGTTCAATTTTAATTTGAACTTCTAGTAACCCTATGACTATCACAAAAGCGAGTTACTGGTAACCTTATTTTCTGTTTTGTTTTGATTCTGCGTTCCGTTTCGGATTTCGACATGCAGAGTTTTTGATGTGTTATTAGGTAAACACCTTAGCACGATCATGAGGGCGGTGTCGTGTTTGATTATGTGGTTTGGTGATTTTGATGCGGTAAATTGACGCATAATTGGGGCGGTCCGGTGAAACATGAAGGAGATAACAGTCGTTCCCATCTTTATCAACGTCACCTTAGGGCCGGTTTTGAATGGTTGCAATAACAACGCGATCGAAGCTTGTATGATGTGATATGAGGGGCTTGGTGGCTTTAGAGCTACCATTTTTGCTTACTGAGTAGAACATTATGAGTTTAATCTCAAGCCCCTTCACATTCAAGATTCGTTAATCGCTTTATGTGAATACATTGGAATAACAACAAATCGGTCATTGATGTGTTGTGATAAGAGGAGCTCGTTTGCCTAGTGGCAAACGTTTTGCTTACTGAGCAGAAGACCGTGGGTTCAATCCCAGGCTCCTTCGCGTTATAGGATCGTTAGGATATCAATTCAGCTTATCGTTTACCAAAACGAACCCCGCTGCAATCCCAGCAAGGGATGGAAAATCATTTACATTCATTTAGTGCATTCATTTACATTCATTTGCCTCATCAACAGAATACGTAAGATGATCTATGAAGCTTTTGTAGCTTTTGATATTAACTACATCTTACATTCACTGAAACACAATTTACATTCACTGAAAAACAATGGTGGGTTCTCATCGCTCTGATTCATCATGCATAAGAGATACAGATTTGAGTTGTTTACAAAAGATGTAGCTAATATCGGAATTCTGTTGATGAAAAAAGTTAGCGGCAAATGAATGTAAATGAATGCACGAAATGAATGTAAATCATTTTCCATCCCTGATCCCAACCCTCTTACCCAATATCCTAGTGATTCCTCGTGGAAGTGCAGAGGATTTCACAGCTACCACCAAAGCGAGTGTCACGTTAACACATTCCTACCCATTCCTTTCTTGACCTGCGTTCGGGCGCTTTGGTGATGGTGATTTGTGATGGAAAATGGACGCAGTCCTTTTTTCTCTTCTGAGGTCCCTCTAGTTGGAGCAGCTAGAGTGTTTTTCGTGGCTAATGGGGGTTTACGCTGCTGTGTGAGAAACGAAAGGCGAGAGTGCTCTTTTTAACACCGGTTAAAGAAGTACCGGGAGCATATCTATGGGAGCTCTTCGAAATCATCGTGATGTCATGGATTCCTTTGCAACATCGGGTTAGATCTTTCCTTAATTTTTCTTTTAACTTTCTTTCCATTATTATACGAAACAATAAATTCTGGGTACGGGACGGTCCACAAAGGCACCCAATTGAAGCGAAATGGATGTCTCTACAATTTCGTGAAAAGAGGGCGGGCTCTTCTTCCCACTCATTGGGCCATCTTCCTGTTGGATGGCCTGTTTTTTGACCGGTTGTATGATCCTGTTGTTGGAAGGAGATTCTCATTTATCCCGTGAATGCACGTGGGCGATGTTGCCCTCGTTTTTGACCCTTCATACAATGACAGGTTGAGTACAATTAGAGGTTATTAAACTTGATCAATTCGGACAGCAAAGTCTACCGACAGTTGGCTTACTACAGTGAGTGGTAGTTCCATATCATCATATCACCATATAATCATCAAACGTAATGTTGTTTGTTGAAATAAATCAAGCTTAATTAACCAATTAAAAAAGTACTAGATGAAAGCTGGAAGCTCGTACTTCCGGTACAGTGATCGCCATGTTTTCTTCATTATATTTTTCTTGTTCTATTTGGTTATTTTATGCCTATTTGCGAAAAACAAAGAAGAACAACATGTGTGATTAACTTGCCGGATAATAAGATTTTGGTTGAGTTTTTCCATCTCCATCTCCTAAACCACTTTTAATAACCCCAATCAGTTTGTTGATTTACGCAATTTAGTTTGAGGTTATGCTATTTCGAGGCTCCAACTGTGCAGATTGAGGGTTATTGGTTATTCCGAGAGCCGAAGTGACTTTTGCTACTAGTGCAATGAGAAAAGTCATTATGTAACATTTGATTTGCACAGATAGTCACGTCACCCCACGTCACCACGACGTGACTTTTCTCACTTCACTAGTGACAAAAGTCACTTTAACTTTCGCATTAACCCCCATTGTTTGTTTGTCCAAATTATGTATTGGGTGTACAGTCAACTTTCGCTCGTTTGGCTAAACCCATAGCCCACTTAGTGAAGCCCTAATAAAAACTTTATGGTTATCATTCTTATCGGGGTATCATCCAAACCCTTTGTAGAATAGTTCAATCATTAGGGTTACAATTATTTTAAATTATTTTTTTTATTGGGGAAGGCTTTCGTTAGTTGGGCTGAGTTGTCAAAGCTGAAAATTGCTTGCGGATGCATCGATTGTCTTTTATCATCAAACTTGTTTAGCAACTATCTACTTGTTCATCCATGAGCCCCTCGAAAATGAATCTGCAAAGTCAGAAATGACGTTTGACTTTGATTTAGGTGGGCTACAGCCCAACTAACGGGAGCCCAACTAAAACGAAGCCCACTTAAAGATAGCCCAACGAGCGAAATTCAACTGTACCACTGGCTAAATGTTCCTATTATGGCATATGGGATTTTCATAGGCCATAATTAGATCACACCATAATAGGAACGTACATGAAACGAAAATTAATTATTTTATTCATGTGTTTCACTTATACATTTTTCGAAAAACATTAGCCTTTTTTTTCCTCTGTTCGGGACATAAAACTACTACGACCAGTAATTTGATCTATTCTAGTATATCCCGTGTCCTTAGTTTAGTGCATGTCATATTACTCCATCACTATTGAGAAATGATGAAGTATTCGCTTTTGATACAGTTGTCATTCTTGCCTTCATCGCAAGGAATTAATTCTAATTGAAAGGTCCCGCTATTTATACCCTTCGGAGTGTTGAAACACCCTCCAAAGGCGCGCCCCTTTGTCAGTCAAAATTGGATTCCTTAGCAACAAAATTAAGGAATGACACCGGTAATGACCATGCATCAGAACCCTAGTCTTAACCACTTCAAACTAGGGAACAACGAATAGAAGATTAGATTATCATCCTCGATGTCATCATCATTATATCACCGACAAACCGACATGACACATAATTCTCAATTCTAATTTAATCTAATCTAACACCAACACAGCCAGTTCATGAAAGCATCCTGGAAAATGATAGATATACACCCATCATTTTTTTTTCTATTTGGTATATGTTTTTTTTTTTTTAACTAGTTCG